TCAGAATGGCAAGCTCTGAATTTAACTTGAGACTCTGTCTTAAGCGCACGCCTTTAATCCCAGCACTTGGGAGGCAGAGCCAGGCGGATCTCTGTGAGTTCGAGGCCAGCCTGGTCTCCAAAGCGAGTTCCAGGAAAGGCGCAAAGCTACACAGAGAAACCCTGTCTCGAAAAACCAAAAAAAAAAAAAAAAAAAAGTAAGATGAAGTTGGCCCTGAAAACACACAGACAAGTAACAATATACAGACTGAGCAGGGTATTTACACAGATACATACAAACATACATACATACATACATACGTATGTTCTATAAACTGATCATGTGTATTTATGCAGATACAAACATACATGCATGCATACATATGTTTGTACATTGTACAATGCATATGTACATTTTATAGACTGAGCAGGATATTTATAGAGATACATATATACATATGTTCTATAGACTGAGGAGGGTATTATATGGATAAATATATCATACATACATACATAGGTACATCCTATAGATGAAGCAGGGTATTATACAGATACATACATATGTACATATGTACATTCTACAGACTGAGAAGGGTATCTATACAGATACATGCATACATACATATATTCATGTAAAAACAGTTAGTGAAGAAAAGAGGCCACAGATTTAAAAGAGAGAAAGGAGGGATATATGGATATTTGGAGAGAGGAAGTGAAAAGATAAATGATATAATTATATTATGAACTCAAAAATAAAAATAACAATAAAAACATTAGATGCAGCTATTGAGGAAACCATGCTGAAGTCAGCCCCCAGCTCCCAAACACCCCACATAGGTAAGCATGACCACAGGCATGTGCACACATGCAAACAATGTGCACACAGGTGACATAACCATCAAGAGATGAGTCTGTGAGTGGGCAGTGTCGTGCAGTAGGAATCCTACCTACATGACATCACACTGTATCACACTCTTAATACATGTAACACATAGATATCAAAACTATAAACTAAATGCAATGTCCTCCCTTGAAGGGTGTTTACAGTCCTACGACTCTGGGCTAAGCACTGTCAGCTTCTGTTCCCAACAGGAAGAAGCTGTGGCAGGGAAAGAAAACAAGAATTGCATTAAACGTCAAGACAAGACCACACCAGGCTGCTCATAGCAGGAAGAGAGCGGGAAGGGCAGAGCAATCACATTATTAGACGCAATGGTCCATATCCATAGGGTGTTGAGCAAACAATAGGAAATATATTCGGTACATAGGCGATGGCTGGGGTTACCTAATTGTGTTGGTAAATGGACCTGTGAAACAACATGGGTCTAGTAACCAGAGATTCTGATTCCGCGGGCTCAAGTTTTAACCATTTCATTAAATAGCACAGATCAATAGAGATGATTAACAAGACTCTGGGGAATGAGTAGCAAAAGGGTAGTGGAAATTTTCACAGTATTTTGCTATGTATTTTCTAAGAAGCACATTTTAAGTTGGGCAAAGTGGTGCACACCTGTCATTTGAGCACCTGGGAGATAGAGGTAGAGGATTCAGAGTTCAAATCTAGCCTTGGATACATAGTAAAGAAACCAGCCTGGGCTATGTGAAACACTATCCCCCCAAAAGTAAATATATATATAGTCACTTGGTAGTTGTGGTAAGTTATTTTACGTGATTCATAAAGCTCATATATATAAAGACAAACTTTAAAGAAAATAAGAATCAAGAAAAAATGAATTGTTAGCATAACTATTTCCTTTTGAATTACCCTTAATTCTTACACTGGAATCAAACTGCTTTTAGCATTTATATACTTTGGTTTTTTACCCAAATCCCTCCAGACAGCCTTCATCAGCCACCGATATGTCTCCATCACAGACTCTAGTAGTCTGCTCACTCTGATTAGATCATTGGAGCTAATTTAGAGTATGGCCTCTGTGTGTCTACAGCAACCTAATCAGCTAGGAAGATTCCCTGACACCCACATCTGGTCCATCTCCATGCCACTGAAGCACAATGACAAGGACTGTGGTCATCAAAGTCTATCTTCAGGCTGAGCTGTCACTCTCCAAATTAGTTCTTGGTTAAATTTGTCAGATTTCAAATTACCACATGAATATTTGTAGTTCTGATAGAAATCCCAGTAAGCGTGGAGGTACTGACCATCTCTTGTTTCCCTGATTAGAGGATGAGCCCTTAAAAGAAATACATCCTCTTCTTAGTATTCTCTATATCTTACAAATGGTGTAGTTTTATACTTTCTCTTTTTTAATTGATGTGTATGTGTGCATGTCTGCTTCTTTGTATGTGCATGCAGCACATGCATACAGTGCCCACAGAGGGGGCCCAGTGCTCTGAAACTAGAAGTTACAGGCAGTTGTGAACTACCCAATGTGAATATGGGCGCGGAGAACCAGACTTGGGTTTCCATAAGAGCAGTAGGTGCTCTTAAGCACTGAGACATCTTTCAGTTCTCTTATTTTCCTTTTTGGAGACAGGGCCTCTTTTTGTAGTTCAAGGGCCTTGAATGTACAATGTTCCTGTCCTTGTGGCAGTCTTCTGTGCTTTGTCTGTTCAGATTTGGTGACATTTTGGTAATCAAGTATTCAGAATGTCATTGGTTCTTCTTCTTTTAGAAGCAATCTCACCAGAAAACCATGAATTCACTCTTCATCCTCTAGTGAGGGTAGAACAGAAGAATGCTTTTAGAGTTCTGGGTCATCTGGACACACTCCCAAGATCTAGTAAACAAAAATGTCTGACACACTCAGAGCCAGACAAGAGAATATGGCAGGCACAACTTAGGTGTATTGAAGATCATGGTTAGAAGGTATTTTGAGAGGTGGGATTACTATCTCTGAGTAAGCACAGGAGCCAAGACAGCAATAATGGTTATCCTCTAACCTAAGATCCATGAATTCTAAATACATACCCCCAAACTGAAGGGAAGCTCCAGCTGGTTACCGAACATTGACCAATAACTCGGTTGATTGAAACATAGTCTATGATGTAATGTGGGGGGAAGTGATGTATTTTTTTATTCTACCCTAGATACTTGGCTAGATTCTTTGTATGAATTCTTTATTTGTTTGCTTATTTATTTGCTTGTTTGTTTGTTTATTATTTATTGAAGCAGGGTCTTACTATGTAGCCCTGCCTAGTCTGGAACTCACTATGTAGACTCACAGAGATCTTCCTGCCTCTGCCTCTCCAGTGCTGGGATTAAAGTGTGCACAACCACAACCTTCTCACAAGTTGAAGGGATACACATGAATACTACTAGAACCTCTACTGAGTCAACCAAGATGTGGGAATGTGAGCTGATTTGTCCACATATGACTAGTTGATGAACAGACAAATTTCAACAAAGACTGTAGCTTCAGAGCTCAGAGTTCTAACTTCCTACTTCTCTAGGAATGCAAAACCTCTTAGAAAATTCTCTAAAATGTCATTGGTATTCTCTCCTGGGTACAGGTGAGTGAAAGAACTTGGTTTCTTGCTATTGTGTAGCTGTTTCCTTTGGGGTGGACATGGCAATGGCTACCTTCAATAAAAGCAGTTGTGATCATCCACAAGGAGCTGGAGACTCACAAAGCCCAAAGGGCTGATCCTCTGGTGGTCTTTCTCCTCTTTGGGGGTGTACAAGAGGTGATCAGATGACTGTATGTAGGACTCTTTGCTAATCTAGCTGCCTATGAGTTACACAGAGGACTTTCTAGAGATGTAGGTATCTGAGAGTCAATTGTGCTCATGTAAGGGACCTCAGTAACTTCATTGCCTCTGAAAAACAGACTTGGACAGAATCTTTTCTTTAGACCTTTGGCACCATCCCAATCAGGAGCAAGTAAACATAGACATTACATATATCTGCATATATACATATGTGTGTGTGCTCAGAAAAAGTCACGTGACAACTGCTAAGAGTGATTTCTGTTCAGAGACTAAAGAGAAAATTTCATCTAGAATCCTTTATGATATACTTGCAAATCTGACAAAAATCTCAATGTTAACTTCTCCCTCCCCTCATCTTCATCACCACTGGATATATTTTCTTTCATTCAAAATGTGCTCAGACTCTTGGAGATCATGAGATACACTATACAGAACAGAAGCCTCGGGATATCACCTGTCCAGCTCCATTTCTGGTTCTACCATTCACAGGTTTTCACCAATAGTCTTAGAGCATTTGAGTTTAGTTTTCATAAAATGAAGCTCATAGTCTCCACCATCTAGTGTTCTGAGGGTTAGAAGGCACATTGTGCATGGGACTCGGGGCCTGTGGGTGCTGCCCAATGGTTGAGAGTTGTCTATGCCCTCTTTGGACTTCGTTTTCCAGATGAAGGGCACATGTGCAATCAGCCACCAAGTTATAAAGTTCATCCCTGCAGCAAGAGCGGAATTGCTGTTTGGGCTGGAAATTGCAGAGTCCTCATCCTCGCGTGTAGCTGTGCTTTAATTATGTAATTAAGGCGGGACCTCAATTACATTTGAGTAGTTGTCTTGATCCTTTAAACACTTGCTTTAGTGCTTTGGTCAGACCAACAGCTTTGAGGTTTGGGTCCTTGGATTGAAAACCCTAATTGTCAGATTTTAGATTTGATCTATACTTGAATGATTTTACAGCCCATTTCCTCAAATTCTGCAAGTTTGATCTAAATAGTCTCAAATACATAGATCTTTACTTACCTACTATAAATTACAGAGATTGATTCACTTGCGTAGCTGTTTAGAATTCTATGTTTGTGGTATTGAGCAAACTCAGGAGTCATATGGCTACCCAGGAAGGTCAGACCTGGGTCAGGAACACCCTGATTCTCTTCTCTCATTCACTCTACTAGTCCCTATGAGCAGGACCTTGCAAAAAGAGCTTACTTAGCTCCCTAAGGGGACACTGCTTCATACCTATTCCTAGAGAAATGCAGCAGAGTCCACAGAACATCCTCAGGGTCCAGCAGAGTACATAGAACAAATTCAAAACCACACATACACATACACACACAAAACAAAAACAAAAACAAAACCATATTGAGTCAAATAATTTATTAGTCAGTTTAACAATCAATTAATTTAGGAGTTATACACTAAGCAATTTGGTTCATTTTCAGCTGGCTACCTTGTGGTGGGTACTATGTATATATTTGTATGTTTTTGTGTGTGCATGTGATATTGTGGGGGAAGAGGGTGTGCACATATGCATGTGGATTCATGTGCATTTGTGTGCATGCTTATATGGAGAACAGAGTTCAATGTCAAATGTCTTCCTCAGTTTCCTTTCTATTTTTTTAAAAATAATCTATTAAATGTCATTTATTTGTATGAATAGGTGTGTGCCACCACGCATTTGTCCACAGTGTGCCTATGGGGTAAGACGCCAAGTTTCAGGAGACAGTTCATTCCACCATGTGGGTGCTGTTGATTGAAATGAGTAAGTCAGGCTTGGGAACAAACACCTTTATGAGCTGAGCCATTGTGCCCAATCATCTCCCCTTTATTTTTTGAGACAGGGTCTCTAATGAAATTTAGAGCTTGTTAATTCAGCTGATATGGCTGGCCTGTCTCCACCTCTCCAGAGAAGAGATTATAAATTGTTTCCATACCTAGATTTTTATGCTGGTGTTGGGATCCGAACTCGGCTCCTTGTGTTTGCACAACAAGTACTTTACCAACTGAGCTATCTCCCCAGCCCCACAGGTTTGACATCATGACCAAGGAATCTGTAACTATGAAGTTCTTTATTTCTTCACAGTCTCCTCTTACATATCATTCCCAGATTGATGTGTAAGTTGTCAAATAAATGAGATAGCTCCCATTGGTCCTATGTAAACAGTAAAGGCAACTATTCATTTACTAAGAGTAGCCCTTTATCTGTGTGTTCTGTATCTATGAATTCAATCAATTGTAGATTCAAACTGTCAGTGCAGGAGGGGATTACACCTGCACTAAACAGGATCAGACAAGATTTGTCATTATTCCATAATCAGGTATAGCAGTGTTAGAAGCAGTGTTAACACTGCATGCAGCATTTTAAGTCATCTGGAAGTGATGGTTCAGTTGTGTCCTGCTTGGGTACCCAGGAAAGGTAAGAGGCTCAACACAAACCATAAACTCACTTAAAACTTTGTAGGTTTGTCTGTGATTTTTCTTTTGTGATTCAATTTCAAGGTTCTGGAGTGTGCACTTCCGAAGATGTAACAGCATTGTGTTTTGATGCCAAAAGTTTGGACAGGCCTAAAGGTAAAGGAATGGATGTGTGTAGGCGATACACAAATACGCACCACTTGAGCATCTGCAGACTTTGGTATCTAATCCCCTGCAGACACTGAAGGGTAACCATGTGTGCAAATACTCCTGAAATGACTGCTAATCACACAGCTCTCTTTGTGATTAGAAACTCTGTACCAGAAATTAATTTCAAGGTCATTGTAGAAGATGGCTACACATGTTTATTTAAAAATATAGACTTTTGTCTGTAAGCTTTCCGTGCCTGTTGTTTAAGGATAAATAAGAAGCCACTCCTGCCACTGAGAATTTTGCTTCTCTTTACTTCTGTGCCCAGACAAATTTTGTTCAGTCCAAGTCAATCTGATGAGAAAGTAGCAGCATGTCTTCTCATCTGTGTGGTGCAGAATGCCTCCCTCCTTGCTGTAGAAATTTATCAGCCATGTTCATTAATAATTATATGTAAGTTATGTATAACTTAGAAACAATATAACCTCTAAATTGGTAGAGCAAAGTTCTTGTGTTTGTATTCAAACTAGAAAGATGACAAGGAATTAATTAAGAGACTGGCTAGCTCAGAGACCTAGGATAAAACCAAATATGACAGGAAAAAAATAATGAAGAATATAATAAGATATCTAAAAACATGGGTAGCTAAGGCAGGAGGACTTCCGTGAGTTTGATACTGGTCTAGAAACTTTATCTCAAAAAGGAAGAAAAAAATGACATCTAAAATCTTAATGTATAAATTCAGAAAATGCATTTAAAAGCTGTGAAATGCAAATTTTCTTTATAACATTCCAGCATATGGTGGTCATGAAAATATTTAAAAATAACTATCTTGATGTTTAGAAAAAATGATACGGAAAAAGACATGACTCCTCCATATCAGGTCAATAGTTTTTAAAAAGTAAATGATTTATCAACCTAATCACTTGAATTTCACAGTTGTGGACTATATATGTGTCAGCTAGAAAATCATGGATCTGTGTATATAAATGATAGCAGCTGAATAGTAACATGGAGAACGTGGAAGTTTAGGGCCCCACACACCTTTTCAGCCTTGACTTTACAAGTTTGCCTCGAGTTTACATCTCCTGCTGAGACATTATCCTCACACTCACCCATGTTCTTTTTTATTATGGAGGTAAGGAAAAGTGGAAAAAATCCTGTAGCTAGCTCACAGAGAATTGGAAAACTCTTCTCTCACAGAGAGAAGAAAGGAAAAGAAATGTCCTAATAAACAATATAAAAGAGTAGAAATGTAACTCGTACTTTGCAGTTTACATAGAATCCTCACCATTTAACTTAATAAAAATAATATCTTAGTATAGAGTTCCACATAGTACATCTTATTGATGGAGGAGTCTGAGAGAAGGAAAAAAGTCAATATTAACAAAGCAGGTTTGAAATCTCATTCAAGGCGGGTTTCTAACTTCTGCTCTGTAGTGCTGAGGATCACAGGGTCATGTGCGTGGAGGGCAGGCAGACAAGTCATTCAGCTACAGCCACTGGCTTCCTGAGTCAGGCTCTCAGTATGTAGCTCTGACTGGTCTTGAACTTGAGATCCTCCTGTCTCTTCCCCTAGAATGCTGAGATGGCAAGTTTGTACCACTGTGTTCAGCCTCAGAACAGCTTTGTAAAATGACAGGCAGATGGTCTTGTGTTCTAAAGCCTGATTCCTCTGAAATGGCTAAGCATGACAGAAACATCTTTTAAAACATTTACTTAGACATATTTATTTGGGCCAGAAGTGTCAGCAGCTGGGCTTTTCTTTCTATCACCCATATGGTTATTGATTATGCAAAATGCCTATTTTGAAATAAGAAATGGGGGTGGCTATGAGGGGAGAGTATGAGTGAGTGTGCATGAGTGTGCATGGGTATGGGTGAGTGCATACGTGTGTGTGTGTGTGTGTGTGTGTGTGTGTGTGTGTGTGTGTGTGTGTTTCTTGAACATTTAGTGTGCATCTGGATAAAGCATCAGAATCCACTTGGGGACTTCTCCAACTGACAGAAACAACATCTCCAAATGCAGAGGAGTTTATATTTTTATAAGCTCCAAGTAACTCCAGTGTCTGGGTAATACTTGTGGTTAATGTAAATATATTTACTGTTTGTCAAGAAGGGCTGGGCATGGTTGTATACACCTGTAATCCCTTGGATGACAGAGGCAGGAGGATTATGGTAAATCCCAGATCATCCAAGATTACATAGTGAGACCCTATCTTAAAAAAAAAATGATTTCTTAAAACTGTTCACAGTGTAAAAATCTGAGCAGATGTCCCACGGTTGACTCACAGTCCTGATCTTTCTGTCTGCTTCCTTGGGTCTCTGGTCCTAGACTTCTCATGACCCTTCAGGACACCCATGATGAAGGAAAATTCCAGAACATACCTGTAAGATGATGGACAGTGTCAGTGAGTGTCTTGGGAATGTGAACTTTGGTTCCAGAAGGGAGGATATGGACATAAGAATATGAGATGTATAGATAAGAAATGCTTCTACTTCAGTATGAATATTTTACTCCTTTAACAAAATGATGTATAATTATATGTGTTGTACAATCATATTATTTTCAGTAAATTATTTGAATACTTCTGTCTGATTTTACTCTAACTCAAGACTCAGTAGATCACTCAGCTAAGCTTCAACTAGCTCAAAGTTTGTGTGGAAATCTATGGTTCTCTCCACTCATACCCACCCTCTGACTGGGGCTTCATGCCTTTGGATGATGGCATGTGTTTTCACATAGGAAGATAGTTTTCCCTTGTGAAAAGTGAGCACTATGCTGACATCTCCCCCTATCTGAAATGCTCCCTCTTGGGAGAAAAAAGGTTCCTAAGACTCAGGAAGCTCATAAAATTACAAGGTTCCAGAGGTCCCTCTGCCAGGAACAATAACCACCATGAGATTCTGGTGGGGCTGTTTGCAATTGGGGCAGCATGATGAGGGATGCAGCTGCTGCGCCCAGCATCCTTTCTGAAACGGGCTGTTTGGTGATGCAGGTACCTCTCAGGTGCTCATGCTCAGATGAGAAACCCCAGTAAGCTCAATGGTTCACCTAGATAGACCTGGGTGGAATTGTTGCTCCAGTCTGTCATCAGTGGCTTGTCTAGGGAGAAGAGACAGTTGTCCGTGTCTCTTCAGGAAGAACCACACAACAGTATGTGAGAATCTCAGGTGTCTTAGATACTGAAGTCTATTAAATCAAAAAGAGACTTCCAAAGGCATAGTAAAAATGATGCCACACAGAAAGTGCATTATACTGTTTATATAAAACCGAATGGACACAGTACATCATTAGAACATTTACCTGCTGACCCTACAGTTTCCAGAAAGCTTACACTCACCCCAAATAAATAAACTCTATAGAGTAAATCTTAATATTGTGTTGACAAAAAAGAATAATATCATAGCTGTATATGCTATAATAATACATCTTCATTTATTTGTTTGGCAATTAGTGAAAGCTTTCTATGTGCCAGAAATTATATGCTAGCAATGCCAAGATTAAATAACACTATTAATTACATAGTTTAGGAATAAAAACAAATGTAAACAAATATTGGCAACAATCTATGACAAGTGATATCATATGGGATAGAGTAGTCTACCCAAAACAGAGGAGGGAATGTATGCAGAGAACAGAGTAAATGAGACATTTGAGATTTACCTGTAAGAATGTGTAGGAAGTCACTTCCTGGACCTGGGGAGTGGGGAATTCTGGATTCCAGTGTGATGAGAGTATAGTCACTGTCTCCCTCATCAAACTGCACACAACCACTTACCAGCTTGCATTAGTAACATTTTTCATGGCTGTGACAAAGCACCTTGCAAAAAAGAATTTTATCACTGCGTGGGGGACCAACCTCCAGCAGTGCAGGGCTCAAAGGGAATCCACAGAGTCAGCATACTAGGACTTTTTTATCTGAGGAGGTTAGGGAAAAAGCACACTCTCTCTTGATGGTTTCCCTCTTTATTCTTCTGTATTCTTCTACTGTATACTTCTTCTCTACGCTTATAAACCCAAACAAAGTTTTTCAGGCAATATATGAATTACAGTGTGTTTACATTCTATTTTTCAAGTGAATGATTATAATGAATACAGGTAAAAACATGTTTTTCATCTCCCTTACATGATTAAAACAAAGTCATCCCAAGAACCTATGTACACTGACATCTAAGTAACTTGCTACAGATTAACAGAATATGAGCAAGCAGAGGGGTATTTTTTTTCTCAGCCAATTCTTTCGTTGGCAGGCTGCATTTTGTGGTTACAAAGAAAGGACCAATCACTTTATTACTTATCTTGAAAGGTAATCTCATAAGGAATCTTGAAGGAGTCACTAACTGTTGCTTGAATTTCTAATAGGTCTTAAAATAAAAAACCCAGAGCCAGATATTGGGGTAAATGCTGAAAGATGAGAGAGACAAAGGAACAAGCCATTGCCACGTCTCACCTCGCCAACTCCATGAATCCTCTGACTGAAATCCTGAGTCCCCACCCAAAAGGCTCCAGCCAGAAAAAGCCTCTGGCTGAAAGGGACGCTTCTGCCAAAAAGCCTCTAGTTCCTGTCTCCTCATGCCTTAATAACAAACCAACTTTTAAACTTGAAAAGTAATCAGTCAACTCTACTTTAAATCTATAGGGTGCATACCCACTCATCAGTAGTTTTTTTTGTTTGTTTTCTTCCTTTGGTCATCAACCAGTCCTAGCAAGAAAGGCATGTCAGCTAATAATAATTGGGCTGCTTTGTTCTTGTTTGCTGACCTTAATGAGTTCCTCATTCACCTATGTGCCTTTCTAGAACTTTAGATTGTCTTCTTGGGTTTTTCACCTCAAAGCTATTGAACAAAAACATCTTAGTCTAACTTTAAGTTATTTTTAAAGCTTTATTTCAGCTATGATGCACTGTGAAACCTGTGAACACACCTCCCAACGTTAAGATTAAAAGAATTTAAGCTAACTGGGCTACTGGGACTCAATTGTCTTCCTTAATCATTAACCTAAGCCACAGTCTATATGGCTCCTCAATAGAAACTCATGTGTTCTAGCTGTATGACACTTTCTTATTTATATTTTTATCATCAAAACTCTATTTAAACTAACACTATTATTATCAATTAGACAGTACAGCTTAAGAAGAAAGCATCTTCATAATAATCTACAGGTAAAAATTCCCAGTCAAAAAAAGATGTTTTCATGAGATAAACACACTACATTACAGGCAGTGGGGTCTCCCCACACCCATTCACACTATGCCAGATACCAGAGAAAGAGCAGCAGTAAACATGTGAAGGCACAGCAGAGGCAAAGGACATTCTGGGGTCTGGGGTCTCGGGCCTTGCCTATCTGAGATTCACTCATCAGGGAGTTGCCTCCTGGTGGGCTGACACCCTGAAGTCAACTGCCCTCTGCTGCTCCTCTGTCATGGCCACCAGCAGAATTTAAAGAGGGAAGGTTACATTTTGCTCCAAGCTCGAGTGCATAGTTTGGGAAGACATGCTGGTGGAAGTAGCTTGTACCTGGGTAGTGGAATATAAAGTGGCTTGCTCACATCTCACAGACCGGAAAGTAGAGAGAGATGAATGCATAGCTTTTCTTCTTTTCTCTTTTGATTCAATCTAAGACCCCAGCCCCAGGGCTGGTGCCACCCACATTCAAGATAGCTCTCTCCCACCCTCATTTAATCCTGTCTGGAGAAGGCCTCAGAGTCACTTGCCCAGAATTGTTTCTCATAGGTGAACATACCTAAATCCAGATAAGTTGACAATGAAGATTAGCTATCACATTTCAATGCCCAGGAGTCATAAAATGTTCACTAAGGGTGTTACACTTCAGGTTACATCCATGATCTTAGTTGGTGCAGTAAATTCAAATCAAAGTTGTAGCTAGAGTTTTCCTGCCTGGCCCACAGTCAGGACAAATCTTTGTCCCCTGCCAGTCCCACAGCCATCAGACCCAACCAAGTAAACACAGAGACTTATATTGCTTACAAACTGTATGGCCGTGACAGGCTTCTTGCTGACTGTTCTTATAGCTTAAATTAATCCATTTCCACAAATCTATACCCTGCCACGCAGCTCGTGGCTTACCGGCATCTTCACATGCTGCTTGTCCTGGCGGTGGCTGGCAGTGACTCCTTCTGCCTTCCTGTTCTTTCTTTTCTCCTCTCTGTTAGTCCCACCTATACTTCCTGCCTAGCCACTGGCCAATCAGTGTTTTATTTATTGACCAATCAGAGCAACACATTTGCCATACAGAACATCCCACAGCACAAAGTCTTCTGTCTAATGTGATTTTAGGTCACCTATAAAATGAAACTAAGTCAATGAAAGAAAGAAAGAGAGAGAAATGGAGGAAGGGAGGAAGGGAGGGAAGAAGGAAGGAAGTTAAAGGAAGAATACTGCCCCAATTTCAATATTGTAAGTATATGACCTGTTAATTTAAGCACTCAAAGATCATGTGACCAAATAATAATAATGGGTAACATTTATTAACAGTTTCCTACCAGTCAGGCACTAAGATCTTCAAATGATTCAATTCTTGCTGTCCTTATGATATTATGAGGTTGATGTCAGTGTTATTTCCATTTTACACAGTCTTCATGAATAAACAGGTATCTTTTTGAGTCTAGAAACATGTTTAGATCTTACTGACACAATTGGTTATGCTGCATTTCCTGTCACTTGTCCCAGCTAAGCTTTGTCTAGATGTGTCTAGAACATTTACAAATTGTTCATGTAGTGTGTGTGTGTGTGTGTGTGTGTGTGTGTGTGTGTGTGTGTGTCTGTGTCTGTCTGTATTTCTCCATCTCTCTCTGTCTGTCTCTATCTCCCAGAAGCTAACAATTGACAATAACCCCCTTGCTTGTGGTGGATTTCATGCCCAGCTACTACCTCCATGCTGGGATTTGGTCTGACTTAGGTCTGCATACCTTTGTGCATGATGATATCACCATCAGTGGGAGTTTGGACATGCCGCTGACCTGCTATGTCCCTTGAAGTACCCCATCACCTCTGGCCCTTACACTCTTTCCACCCCCTCTTCCACAAGGCCCCTTAATCCTTAGGAGGGAGAAGTGTGGGGTGTTTGATCCATTTGGGGAAGTGTTTTGCTCTTGGCATCTGGGCCAGTTGAGCACCTATGTGTGAACCACTGTATATATACCACAAGGAAAATAGTATAACTTTGATACTTTTATCTTTTCAGCTTTCTTATATAAATATTTAAGTCTAAAATTACAGCTTCAGTTGATACTACATATTCCAGAGTTTAGGATCCTTATTATCATTCAATTAAAATGTTTAAAACCCTCATTGCTAAGTCTTCTTTAGCACATAGAAAACACAGAAGTGTGTTCCTTAAACCTTAAGCATGTGAAACGATTCCC